TTAAACTTTTATATTTTTAATTAAAATTGTTTGCATAATGAATTTTATTATTGAATTTAATACTTTAGAAGGTTGATTCTCTTTTGATAATTATGACATTTATAACTAAAATTTCAAGTTTCAGTATTTTTGTTATGAGTTAATTTACCCTATTAAGACTACAATATAATTTAATTAATTTAATATAAATTTTATAATTTTTATACTTTCAATTAAAGTTATTTATATAATGAGTTTTTATTATTGTGCTTAATATTTTAAAAGTTTAATCACCTTTTTATTGATTATGTAATTTATATATGAATTTGAGAAAGAATTGCATAAATTAGATCAATAACAATATCAATTATGTGTTAAACTATATTGTGAAATCGAGAGCTAATCGGTGTTACATGTGGTAATGGAAAAAGAGAAGAGAAAGAAAGTTAGGAGATCTCTTAACTCAAAGATTTTCACATTATCTAATACTTGTTAATTTGTTTTAAATTATATAGAGATATAATTAATTTAATAAATAGATGAAAAATTAATTAGACTTAAGAAAGTTAGTTAATTAATTTAAGAAAATCTATTATCATATACAATAACACTTAACAAATTAACCTTAAAAACATATTAATTCAGAATTTATATTGATTGATTATAATAAAATTGATGCCTTAATACTTCATATATTAGTTAATTTTATTTTAATTACTATTTTCTTTTTAATTAAAGTTCCTTTCTTTTTAATTATTCAAATAAATTTAGACTAATCATTTTTATAATTTAGTTAATCATAATTTTTATAAATTTAACATTTATTATTATATTATTATTTAAAGTGACTAATTTACTCATTAAAGTAATCACCAGCGCATCAAGCTTTTCTTTTCTTTTCCTTTTTTATTTTTTCATTTTCCTTTTGCTTTGTCCGGCACCCCTAAAAAAGAAAGGAAAACTAGGTTTTTATTATTGGTTAGTGGTTTTTAGCTGATTTTTGGATGAAGTTGGCCATTTTATGGACTGCTGAGATGAGTTTGTAAATGGACCGAGACTTTAAGGTTTTTGAATGTAACTTAACCCCCAACTTCTAATTTTTTTCAATTAAGTCCTTGAATTCCTTTTTGAATCTCTTTACAAAATTTTCTTTTTGCATGTTGAACTGAAACAAAAGTAAAATATATATTAGTTAAAGAAAAGGAGAAAAAGAGAAAAATTCATATATATATATATTACATTTTTTTATGTTTTTTTTTTCTTTTCACATTTTGTAATTTTTTGTATTTTGATTAATTCTATTTTTTTTTTTTTGTATTTTTTTATGAAAAATCTAAATAAAGTAAATGAAAAGTTGGGTTACGACAACCATATATATAAAATTCTACTTTTGAGATATCTGCCAAAATGGTAAAAATAACATCCACCTCAGTTTTAGTGAAACCATTGAAAACATAAAAAATAATAATAATAAAACAAACAAACCAGTGAAGGCTACATCCATACCTGCATTGACATAGGGAAGTCATCAGCAAAGTAAGGAGGAAAGAACAGATCTGCCTGTTTCTCAGTGTATAAAGGTTTGCCTGACAAGTTCAATAATAAATAAATAAATAAAATAAGCACATAAGGAAATAAATACATGGCAATTTGCAATTTTGTAAAGCATCGAAATCATGTTTCTCAGATGAAGCAATTAACAGTTCTCTATCTGTGCACATGTTTGTAAAAGAAGAAACCAGTGAATGAAGGAAGAATAAGAAACCTGGCTGAGCAACAGGTTCGATCACATGCAAGATGCAACTTTGACTCAATTTTCCCAGCATTGGATGACTTTGTGGTAAAAGAAGTAAGTTTTGAAGGATTCTCATTTCCAGGTACCTGTTCACAGACAGAAAACAAAAATGAGAATTCAAAAGCCAAAGATAATAGACAACAAAACAAGACTGAAGGATAAAAAAATACAATTTAAATGTGGCAAACAATGCAGCATGTGCTTCAAGATCGTAACTATGCTTTGATCCACATAAAAGAGCTGCAAAATCCCTTTTGCCAAATTTGGTATCTGCAACAGAATGTGAATAACCAACAGAAGATACTAACTTTTTTTTTTTTTGGATAAAATGTAAACATATGATACTATTTAAAGGAAAAGATCACGTTTCTCATGAATTAAACAAAAAAGTCTGCAAAATAAGGAAATCCATTCACTATTTTGCTCTTTAAGAAGACAGTACCATGCATCAAATATATAAGTTAATAAGAAGGATAAAGATATGTACATACTCTAACGTTACACATTTTATTACATCTTAATTATCTCCGTTATGTAAACTGACAGTGTTTGTTACTCAACCCTTTTTTCTCTCTCCTCTTATTTCTCTAGTGAGAACCCAACCAAATTGGGTTTGGGTTCTCACCAGAAAACCCAGGTCGGGTTCTCCACCAAGAGAGAGAAAAAAAAAAAAGAAGAAGAAAGAAAGAGGGAGGAAAAGAAGAAAAATGATCGGTGTGTACTTTACGAATTTCGTTAATGTACTTGACGGATTTCGTTAATGTGTGGATAAATGTGTAACGGCAAAGAGTAAGCCTATTATTGTCCTAATAAGAATTACTGAAACATGTCAGCCATTTTAAATAACAGACAAATCTTAATATGAAGCAAGAGGTGTTAATCAATAGACTGCTATATAAATAAACAGAAATGG